GTCTCTTTTAGAGCTCAAACCTATTGGGTTCCTTAAAAACATTTGGTATGTGGTGAGCATTTGTACAACTCTGGTGTGTGAAACTATCGGAATAGATGACTTTYTGAAAGTATTTTCAACCTTTTTTGCAACTATTTCTGTAACCTCTTTACTCCTAGGTTCATAGTTGTCGCCTCGGAGTCACCCTATACGAAATCTTTCCAACTGATAAAACAAAAGAACATCCTGGTAAGTATGTAACTGGGACTCAGAGAGATTGTGCGGATATATGCCAAACACATGACATTTCTGTCTAAATTTAAATTTAGATACATACATTTTGAGTTCTGTGTTCTGTTGAGAGAATATAAGTGATAGCACTCGGCGAAATCAACGACAAGAGTGAAGAAACTCGATGAAAAAATATTTATGTGGAGACCAGTCMGAACGTGTCCTTTGGCGTAGGTGAATGAATGTGAGTGATAGCACTCGGCGAAATCAACGTCAAGAAATGTGGCCGCAAGCCTTTTTTCACCTTGCGCTGTGGYGCGCCGCATTTTCGCTCGTATCTCGGGAACAGTTCGACCTACGGCCATACCATTTCGCTAGCAACTGACGTGACAACTAACTTTTGTTTTATAAATTTTGCCATGATCTCAAAACAAAAAGTTGCATTGGAATCAGGGAGTACTAAGGCAACTTTTCCGCACTATTAGAAATCCCGAATCAAAAAAAGTCCGGAATCGACCCACCCTAATGTCTGTCCGTCCGTCCGTGCAAGCTGTAAYTTGAGTAAAAATTGAGATATCATGATGAAACTTGGTACACGTATTTCTTGGCTYCATAAGAAGGTAAAGTTCAAGGATGSGTAAAATCGGCCCACTGCCACGTCCACAAAATGGCGAAAACCGAAAACCTATAAAGTGTCATAACTAAGCCATAAATAAAGATATTAAAGTGAAATTTGGCACAAAGGATCGCATTAGGGAGTGGCATATTTGGACGCCCCCGCCCCCTACTAAGTTTTTTGTACATATCTCGGAAGCTACTATAGCTATGTAAACCACACTCTATACAGTCGTTTACTTTAGGCATTTCCATATACAGTTCAAAAACGGGAGAAAGCGGATAATAACCACGCCCATCTCCCATACAAAGGTTATGTTGAAAATCACTAAAAGTGCGTTAACCGACGAACAGAAAACGTCAGAAACACTAAATTTTACGGAAGAAATGGCAGAGGGAAGCTACGCRGGCTTTTTTTTAAATTGAAAATGGGCGTGGCGTCGCCCACTTATGGACGAAAAACCATGTCTCAGGAACTACTCGACCGATTTCAATGAAATTCGGTACATAATATTTTCTTAACACCTTGATGACATCTACGAAATATGGGTGAAATCGGTTCASAACCACGCCTTCTTCCAATATAACGCTATTTTGAATTCCATYTGATGCCTTCTCTGTATAATATATMCWTTRGGAACCAATGATGATAGCGGAATAAAACTTTACACAAATACGGTATTTGATGCGAGAGCATAAAATGTTCGGTGACACCCGAACTTAGCCCTTCCTTACTTGTTAAAAATAACTCTCTTAAACTTCTGATTTATTTAAAATAGTTATCTGAATTTTCAGTTTTTRCAAATAATAGCTTTGAGGAAGAATTTCGTAATAATTTCGATTCTCTAGGCGACTGAAAATAATTCGACTACATCTCACAAAATAAATTTGTCAACTGCTCATAAGAATGCAAATCAAAAGTCGAATAGACTGTAAATTATGTTAATGTGTAATCATACCTGCATACTTGTATGTTCATTGTTATTTCATGGGAGCAAATTTGTTTACGTTTACGTTTTAGCTTGGCAACTATTGATTCCTTTTCACGTGTAGCAAATTTTTAAAGTCGTAACAAAAGCAATTTTTGTAAATCAGTTTAGTTTTGTTATTATCAATTTCTGCATTTTCTTCAAATGCAGATCCCAATTAAATATTTATAATAAAGAAAACTGGCCCTCATATTCATTATGTTATCTATTCATGTCGATCGATAAAGGTAAAATAAAAAAGTTTTGTATATGCCAAGGGCGTAATTGCACCATATTTATCGGAATCCAAGTTATTATTACGTACGTATCTACAGTGGTCCAAATTTAATAAGTTCAAAATATTGGTACCAAATACAAATATACATTGAGTCTCATTTACCTCGGTAAATTCCGCATTCATAGGATCACCAATAATTTTTCCATCAGCTTGCTTATATCCAGCATAGGAGATTAGCTGGCTATTCCAAATGCGATAATCGTGACGGCCATCTGTGCGCTGCGGAAATATCGTAATTGCTGACCTAGAAACCGGAATGAACAAATAAACGTCAATAAAAAAGCATTAAAAGAGCTGCTATTATTTTCTATGTATGTAAACACAAACTTTTCATTGGGTGCGCTTTTTTACTGCGCATTGTCAAGTTTGACAAGTTTAATTCAATTCAAAGTTTTCACAGTAATAATGGTCAGTAAAGTTGTATGTTCATTGTAGTTCATCCTGCTGAGTGTATAAGTTGATATAAGTAACATTCTAAATTATAGCTAACACTAATATTTAGGAAGTAACATCCGCTACGAGCCGCTTAAGCTACAATTTTTAAGAATTATAATATACGGTACAGGCAGAATAATGTTAATTTTTAGCTTAATTTTTAAATTTAATTTTTGAATAAAGAAGGTCATACGGACCTTACAAAGGTCCCGAAAGGTGCCGAAGTAAAAGGCCCGATAACTGGCGACCGAGCAAAGCGAAGCCAGATAACGAGCAAATTAAAGCCCGATAACGAGCAAAGTGAGAAAAAGCCTGATAACGAGCGAAGAGCAATCCGCGCAACTCAACCAATATTATTAGTATTACACCGGAATCTACGTGGTACAAACAGAGTGAAAATATACGCCCGAGGACAGAAAGAAAAGGACAACACACGGTCACCGGTCATGGGAGGGAAGCTGACAAAGCTAAACAAAAAAGGCTTGTACAGCCAATAATTTTTAATATTTAAAAGGGCCTCCGTTTCTTATAACAGTAAAATAAATCTGCGACTTTGCTGTAAAAGGGGTCTTCCAGATATTAATAAAATAAATAATACAAAAGGAAAAAATATATTCTAAAGAAAATAAACCAAAATCTAAATAAAAATGTCTAACCCAAATAATTTGATACGGCCACCAGTGCTAGGGAATACAGCTCCCGCTGCAAAAGCAAGACCTTCCATTTCTAGCAACCAAATCTCACCAGAATTGGCACATTTAGTTCAAAACGTCTTAACTCAGATGTAACAGACGGACGGACAAACCATAATAAAAAATACTCTAAATAAGACAACGTGAACGAAATGGACAAAATTCCTGCCGTAGTGCGACCACTATGAGAATTTTCAGGGAACGCTTCGGAGTTTATCTCCTGGAAGAAAAGTGTCGAGCGGATTCTGAGGATATATGAACCCTCAAAAACATACCACGATATTTTGGCATATTAAATGTAATTCGAAATAAAATTATAGGGAAAGCAGACATAGCACTAGAGTCGTATAACACGCCTTTAGATTTGACAGCAATATCTAGGATTTTTACTATCCATTACGCAGACAAAAGAAACATTGATACTTTAGAGTATCAAATGAATTTTCTCATACACGGAAGACTAACAATTAATGATTTTTATTAAAAGGTCTATTCGCACCTATACCTAATCCTTAACCCTTCGTTGCATGATTTAATTTCCGTGAAAATAAAAATTTTTTTGAATCAAATTTTTAATTTGGGCTATTATAAGATGACAAATTTTATGATTGTCGTGTTTCTAGGAACAGAGTTACGTAACATTGCACATATGCAATATCATGCAGCAAATCTAATAAAATTACAAGGAGGTTACTGAATGGATATGCTCTTTATTTTATTGAATGAAAGTGGACAGAAGTAAACTCATTTATTTTACAATAAATTTCAGTTTATTCTAAACGAAATTTTGTGAAGCAATTTCTTGATTTGCTGAAACATAAATTAATTTCACGTATTGCACCTAACATTTGTACATATAACAACTTGTAATTTTCAAATGACTCGAGTGTCCACCCATGTTAGACAGTGATCCATTTGGTTCAACCGTACTTCATTTTCAGTGATTGGGCTACTTCTCTGGTGCTTTCTATAGAAATAAAGTATAAGAATTATACTTATATGTCGCAAATACCACTTCTTAGAGGGTATTTCGATTTTGTATCGGCCTATGAAGGAATCTAGCAAATCAACTTGTTATACTTTGATAGAACGTTTGGGCAAGCGACACTTAATTTCCGTCCAAATATCGCATCATACCGTTAAACTGCTAGTTCAGTAGTTTGAAATTAAAAGTAACGATTGTATTATCTCTTCAATAAGCTACAGATATGTATATGAAAGTTGTCCACTTTTGCATATTTAAGGGATTTTTCTTGTGATTTCTTCATCGTAATTTCTCGTCTAGAAGCTTTAAATTGGGAATTCGGATCTTTACGTTGCCAAGAGATGTGTATTAATTTAAAAAACAAGAAGCTTTTTACTTCTTTTATGGGGGAATATCCCCTATATATGTCGGGACTTGATTCCAAATCAATTTCCTTAGGAAGTCTATTGATGCTGTTATTTTGGGGCAGTATATATTTCGAAGTTGTAATTGTATCCAGATATACCTGCCAAAACATACAACTTTTCGAATTTATTCAGTGACATAGTGTCTTGTATTCATTTCATGCCTACTGTTGGCGTCCAATGTCTTCGAATATTTAGGATTTGAACAATCGACATCACAGTACATATCCGTAAAAACCTTTTCAGATCTTTTTTGTCTATATCATTCATTTTGGCTCTTTTTGACAAGTGACAAGTGAGCGACAAATACTTTTTTCCTTTTTGTACCGAAAACCATGGATATAAGTAATGAAAACTCCCTAAACTGAGCTTCAATACAATTTATGGTCGAAGACCAACTTGCAATTAACATTTTCAAAACACCCCATATGCTAGCAAAATGAATAGGCAAGTCGAAAGATTTCATTCCACAYKTTCTGAAATTATGCGTTGTCTTCATGCCGAACACACCCACCGCTTATTTCAAGAACTCTTGCAACGATCTAGAACATACGAATACACTGTGGAACATTTTTGGGACTATTGTTTGGGGGGTGAGAAATTCCAAGTCAGGGTGATGGTACTAGATCAGTATGTGTCAGTTTTTTTTATGACCTTTTAATTTTTTCCTTATATTGATGTTTTTTCGCTTAGTTGCAACATTTTGCCAAAAACGTAGTTTAACATAACTCGCGAACCAATGTCCGATTTTGATGAAACAAATTTAGAAAAATTAAGAATTAAAATTTCTATTTGTTTTTATTGATTTTTATTCAAAAAAGTTATTCCCCAATAACTCCAGACTTCTGGCCATAAACTACTAAAAAAATAAAGTAAACATTTNATTTATTTTTATTTATTTTAATAAATATTGCCTAGACTTTTTCGATGGTGGTTGTTCGGGACTAGTGGCATCGCTTTCATCAGTTTCTGAACCACACATTATGTCAATGTGTGACTCCACTGTTGGCCCTTCTGCATCTCCTCAAAATTCTTTATCATCAAGATCATCCCTGTCTTGCAACAACAAGCTTACTCCACCAGCAAATTTCCGCAATTATTGCACTCGGCGACTTGTTGCCTCTATATCTGTAAGTTTTTGTTTTATTAAAATGAGTCTGAAAAATAAAAAATCAGTATTACCTCATTTCAAATGGCATAGCAACTTGATGATAGCGTTCACCTTGTTCCTTCGGTAGCCAAGGACATGTGGACACCAATTTCCGAGAATGTTCTTAACATCCTTGCGACAGAAACATCGTAGTTGTTAGAACGATGCTTTCCCAACGAGCCTTCTACTACTTCTTTGATTGCCTGCCATGCATTCAATTCAGCGTCAATCAAAATGTTGTTGAATGCGTCACTTTTAATCAGCTTTCGTATATCTGGATCATTTAGTACACCTGATTGGAAAAAATTAATTTGTTAAGATGAAATGAAAGAAATGAATGTGATATTATAACTTACTTTCTTTAATTTTACTTTTGCTGAGTCTCGGGTAAATTAGTTTCAAAAACAAGAAAACTTCATCTCTTTTGGCGACAGTTTTGATAAAATTCTTAACAATTCCAAGTTTAATATGCGGTGTAGGCAGCAATATCTTCCCTTTCAGCACTAGAGGCGCACGAATATTATTATTATATATAATATTGGCCGTTTGTAACCGGCTGTTCTCTCTGAGAAACAAATCGCGTGTCCCAATAGCACAAAAAGTACATATATTTTATATAGCTGCTTTGAAGACCGTAAACCATTGCTAAAACTTTTAAATCGCAGCATTTTTAAAATATTTTCCAGTGCATCATATGTTTCTTTCATTTCTGTACTATAGGAGATTGGAACTGAAGGTTTTTTATTGGTCTTATGCAGACCTCAAGCTGAGTTTTGAACTGTCAATAAATAATCTCCAGTCATCTGCTTCATATTTTATTTCCATTGCGTTTATCAATTTTCCTACATCCGGGCAATATGCAGAAGTTGTTTCATCATTCAAAAGGAACAACTTTGGAGTGTTGCCTGACGACTTCAATAAGCTGTGACTTTCACACCGGGTGCCAATAAATTGTTTGATTTCGAAATGAAAGCCAGCTCTTCCGATTTATGGTGTGTTAATTCCAACTTGGCAACAATTCAATCAAGCTTATTTGGATTTATTAAAATTGGCTCATTGGATACTGATGGCTCATATAGGGGATCATCACCTGCATGATATGTCGGAGCAGTTGTAAAAGAGAAAATATCTGGGCTAGAAGCTTTTGGCACAGGAATGTGGTCCGAATGAGGCAATGGTGTTGCGGCACTTGCAGCACCAACATAATTATACGACTGGCGGACGGCGCCCAACTCTCTTTCGATTACGATCCGTGCGCATATACGCATTATCAGCCAGCAGCTTGCTTCTTTTTTTCGCGATCCTCCTTGTCATTTCCGTCGTCACTGAATCAATTGGTGAGTCCGTGGGTTTTATATTAATTCGTTTTATATCGAATAACTATGGTCCTTCGAGCCGTACCGGACGGCACTAGTGGTAACACAAAATAACATATCGGTCACGGTGACGCGTTAATTAAATAAAATAAAAGTGAAAAGTGAAAAAAAAGAAAACTAACGGTGGTGATACAGGTTGAAAAAACCTTTGTAAAAAATCTGAACAAAATAACATCTCGATCACGGTGACGCGTTAATTAAA